AGAAATGTTATTGTCTTTCTTATCTTCTAGTTTTGTCTCATGCGTGGACACTTTTGGACCTTCTTCCACTTACTCGATTTCAGAATTCCTTTTATTATTACTGACTTGTACATTGTATGTCTCTGCCTTCACATTCAGCACACTCACATGTCATCTTGTCGGTTTGACTCATCTCGGGATGAAGTCGTGGACCTGATAAATCTTTCCACACAGACACAAAGAAGGAAATGCTCGCTGTACATCTAGTCTGGTTTTGAAAAACATGACTTTCACTTCAGAGTTTCTGTAGAAACCTGACAGACAAGTTCTTTACTCAGGACTAGCTTCTCCTTAGAGTAGAAGACAGTGGGTGGTTGGTGGGTGCTCTGCTCCATCTTTCCTATCAAACATGGTATCTATCGTCCTTATCTCCCCTCCTTTTATTTTGTGTTTGTTACTCTAACACCTCTTATCTTTTACACTTATATGACTTTATTGTGCTGCAAGTGTCGTAAAACTCTTACTAAAACTAAACATAAGATAAGACAGTTTTTCTGCCTCTTTTTTTTCGGTTGAAAACTTTAAAAACTTGCACAAATGTGACAAACTTGGATATTTATAGCATATCAAACCACTAAATACTGTGATGCTTCTCACTTCACTTTGGAATAATAAAGTTTTAGAGAAAAATGCTGTTTTCTCAAGTTTTCATTTTTCTTAATTACTACAAGTTTTTTTCCCTGTCAAATCTGACACCCAGCTAGACAAATGTTGTTCATCACAGAAGCAAAGACAAAGAAGAGCAAAAAGAAAACGGGACTGCAGGCATAGTTTGACGGATACATGACTTCCGAGTTTTCTGTATTCGACCTATCCATGTTATACTGTAGTTATAATTGTCATATGCATTGAATTGTCAAGTGTGACACCCAGCAAGACATTAATTGTTCATCACACAAACCACATGAACTGATCTTGCTGTCAGGGAGAGGACAACTCGACACTTTCAGTTATGGACTGAACATTCAGTAGCTTTATTCTTAGAAAAGCAAAAACTTTTCACAACATTTGATACGTTATATATGTATAACTAAAGAAAAAAAACAACCTCCCCACCTTATTTCATTTTTCATTGCAAGAATGAACACAAAGTTTTACAGAGTGGCCCTCAAAGTAAGGCAAGTTCAAATACAATTAGTATAATATACATAAATATAGCCTATATATAATAATGGTGAAACCAGGCGCCCGTCAAAATGATGAAATCGAAAAGACACATTTTTTCCTCCTGTTGAGCAATTTTAATCCATTTTTCTTTTGGCTCAACACCATTCTTGTCCACTTAAAAAAGCATTTCTTACAAACGCTGATCAAAGGCACAAAAAAAAAAGGAAATTTGTAATTTCGCGGGATATTCAAGTTTTAGAAGTTGTCATACTTTGGTGGCCATTTTCTTGCTAATTTTACCTCTGAAACATAATATTGAACCCCACCTTCTTCAATCACAAACTCCTTGACTTCTATTCAAGATAGAAGGGCATTTTTTTCAACAAAAGCATGGCAAATGAACAAGCTCTAAGTTGAGACCAAAAGCTCCATATGCTCAAAAACTGTTGAACGCCTGATTCCACCATGTCATGACAATTAAAGAAATGCCACATTCTACTAGTACTACATGCATCCACTTCACTTTCGAGACACAGTCCAGCAATGTCATTCTTCAAAATCACAAACACCTCTCCACATGTCCATGTCAGCAGACACAAACACTCCCACATCACACATGACATGCATCAAATGCTTCTCATATCATAAATACCATGCACATCAGACACATCTCACATCACACATGAATTGCATCAAACACATCACACCACAAACACAAGGTCAACAAAACATAAGCTCTTCTTTTCACTTCATTTTTCTGGTTTTGATGAAAATCATTTTGAAAGCACTGAATTCAAGTAGTAAAATCTGAAGTTGGTACAAAATGGACCTAAAATTCTAAGGAACAGGGGCATTAACTGTGATAATATTCGGCTTTCTAGTGCCTTAGCTCGTTAAAAAAGTGACAAATGTTCAGATGTGTTCTCTCAGACCGGCCACATGCCTGGTATAAGCAAGAGAAGATTAAGTCATTTCAGACTTTAGTAAAGAGACGTGCATTGACAAAATAATTGTCCTTTTGAGGTAGGCAAAAGTACGAGAGTGCAAAATACAGAAACAAGCTCTCCCTTCCAACATGGTTATATAGTTTATCATTGAATGATTGACATATGTACCGGGTATAGCACAGCCTGTGTAAATCAGACTATGTCAGAAGTTACATAACACTCTATGGCTGGCAAGTCAAGCCTGGCCCTTCTGGATAAACATGAACCATGGTTGAGGTATGATGTAGTTGTAGACAGATCACAGATGTTTGTAATACAAGTTTTTCATGCTTTGTAATATCAGGTGGTAGAAATAGGAAAACACTGGCATTGCAACAACGTCGTTGAGGGGAAATGTACACAAACTTGAGTGAACATAGAGTGTACACTGTACAGTATTCTACTAAAAGTTAACTTGAGTGAACATAGAGTGTACACTGTACAGCATTCTACTAAAAGTTAACTTGAGTGAACATAGAGTGTACACTGTACAGCATTCTACTAAAAGTTAACTTGAGTGAACATAGAGTGTACACTGTACAGTATTCCACTAAAAGTTAACTTGAGTGAACATAGAGTGTACACTGTACAGTATTCCACTAAAAGTTAACTTGAGTGAACATAGAGTGTACACTGTACAGTATTCCACTAAAAGTTAACTTGAGTGAACATAGAGTGTACACTGTACAGTATTTTACTAAAAGTTAACTTGAGTGAACATAGAGTGTACACTGTACAGTATTCTACTAAAAGTTAACTTGAGTGAACATAGAGTGTACACTGTACAGTATTCCACTAAAAGTTAACTTGACTGAACATAGAGTGTACACTGTACAGTATTCTACTAAAAGTTAACTTGAGTGAACATAGAGTGTACACTGTACAGTATTCTACTAAAAGTTAACTTGAGTGAACATAGAGTGTACACTGTACAGTATTCCACTAAAAGTTAACTTGAGTGAACAAACATAATGTGTACACTATTCCACAAATAGGGGATATATGATGGCATCGGGAGATGTATAAATATCAACAACATCACTGGGTTACAGGAAATACTGAAAAACCAACTCGAGTCTTCTCTGTCTACATTACACAACATGAGGCAACAAACCACAAAATACAATGAAGTTCCCTGAGGTCTTTTGAATTCCAGCCTGTTCTAGTCATGCCCTCACCAAGGCCGCAACAAAGAGCAATAATCACATTTATAAACTGACATTTGAAAAAACAAAAAAACAAAAACAATCTCTGCAAGTCTGAGAACTATAAGGCGTTATTCGACAGGGCATTAAAACGCAGACAAGGGCAGGGCTTAATGGCACAGTCGACACAACAGTGTCGGCGTCATAAGTGTACGTGCGAGACGAAAGCACAAATACAGACAGCCTGCTACCATCACACGACACACAGACTACATTCATACATTTTCCGCCGCAAAGTCGACAGTTTTGGGAAAACCAAGAGAGCTAATTATGTTGATTAGTCAACTATTGAGTGGAAGATGCAAGTGAGAGCTGTATTCACACCTTCCGTTTGTTACAGAAAACAAATGTCTCCAGACCCAGTGAAAAAGTTTTGTGCGTTTGATTCAACATCCAGGACAATTATCAGCAGTCTCAGTCTCCACCGGGTGGCACCCAGAACTAGCCGCAGGCGATAACAACATCTGGTCTATAAATAGCATATTATTAGTCTCCGGGTAGTAAGTAGAAACTGTCCACTGGATATACAACATAAGTAGATTTTTGCAAACAATGTAAAATATTCCTCTAAGGATACTAGCGTATCAGCATGTGTCTTCTACTAAATCTAGCATCTGCATTTGTCGCGGCCGCGATTTTTAGTATTTTTTGGTCCGCGAATCGCGGCTGCAATTTTTGTATTAAAAAAAACCAAAACCCCACTAAAAACAAAACCACTGCTGGGGAATAAAAAAATTTTCAAAAGAAAAGAAAAAGAAACCGAACCTCTTTACTTTTTATAAAGAAAGTTTATTTTCACTTCAGCTTCACTTTGTCTCTTTCTCACTTGTTGACACCACATTGATTTGTTATTTTTTACTTGAACAACACATTACATGCTATTTATATTGCTGTTTCTCTTTTATTTTTCCTTCTTTGTTGTGTTTTAATTTGTCGGGGTGTTAATTTTTTTCTTGTTATTGTTCTGATGTGTTGTTTTACTATTTTCTGTTTTTATATAGCGTAATGTTATTTAATTTGATGTTGTTCCTACCTTTTTTATATATGCTGGGTTCCTGCCATGAACTTCCCATCAAATTCAACGAGGTTTCAAGGAGGTTTCAAGGAGAAATTTGTAAAATTCAAGGAGGTTTGGTCAAGAAATTCATGACGAAAGCCTATTTTCGATAGGCCTACACTTGTCGGAAAGGAATCATATCATAGTTTCGATTTCCAACAAAAACTGTTCCCATGGTGACTGCCAACCCAGCTTCTCAATTTTCCAGGTGGGCTCATCCATTCTCCAGGGGCATGTTACATAACAATGACAGTGCATGCTCCATTTATATTTTATATATATAATATATACACACACGCGCACACATGTAGGTACATTATATCCAGTCAACTAAACGTCAGTGTGGCACTGGGATACTGTGTGACTTAGGTATTTCAGTTTGTTCTTATACTTATTTATATTTTCCCCTCATCATATTCGCCTATATAAACTATATAAAAATGAATCTTGCTTTGAGCCTGAGAAAATGTCTAGAACCAGAATATCGACCATCAAGAACCAGATTGGGAGTCAAAGTTTATATAATAAACTTGAAAGACAAAAATTATAGCTCAAACTCAAAGTAGAGTAATAACATAAACTATAAACAGCTCAAGTAGACCTATTCAGTGTGAGAGGAGTAAGAACTGTGGGAGGGCAAGATGCAGTGACACTGAAAATCTGCGAATCTTGAACAGAAAACTAAAATATTGAATATAGTACAATGCATATAATTTACTATCACCTGCCCAATGAAACGGGAACCCTTAAGTTTAAAAAAAACCCGACTTACAAGGTTTGAGTGAGACAGATACTGATTCCACAAGTCCTGCACCAACACGCGCTTTGCAGAGAGATGAAGATCTAGATTTAGATCTAATAGCAATCAAAATTCCGGAAAGTAAAATCTGCTTCCAAGTTCAGTTTTTGTCATCCAGTGTTTCCTTCAACCCCATCCCGCCAACCCCCTCCCCCGCATGCGCCTTTAAAAAAAAATCAATAATATCCACATTCCCGAGTCCTATACTTCGTAGGGCTCAGACTTTGCATGAACTTTGGTGACCTCAACCTTCGCCGATACTCACGATGTGACGAAAACGCACAGGTTAAATGACCAGTCACGATGGCGAGCCCAACAAGAAGCTTGTATAATTTTTTTCCCCTTTCTTTTGTTTTCACAAGCGACAGCACAGGACAAATGATTTATTTTCACCGCGTTTGTAATGCAGAACCAGCATGTTACAAATGTGGCGTTATCAGACTACTATAGGCCCCACCGGCAAATTTCTGGGCGTAAACGAAAGCAGACCCTGATTTTCCCATTCGAGCTTCGGTATCGCACATACACTTCCACTAGTTGCCGCCATAACCGCCAGTGAGCGGGTAACATACTCTCGGGCCGGGAAAAGCCGAATGAATAGTAGGCCTATATCACAATCGCGACCAGCAAAAATGAACTCAGGGGCACCCGGGATCCCGCGGCCTGGCAGTCACCCTGTGTTCCTGTCCGATCTGGCAAAATTCAAGGGGTTTTCAAGGAGATTTTTCCTTGAATGCAAATTCAAGCAGTTTTCAAGGACTCCTTGAATTCAAGGAGGTCGCGGGAACCCTGTATATGGGTTATGTTAAAGCATGTCTCCACCAAAACCAAATGCTGACACTGGAAGGCCCCTTAATTGTGCGATGCTAGCTAAATACCGGTGTGTCAGCACGTGTGTTCTGTGAGTCAGCACATGTGTTGTTGATACAGGTGTGTCAACACATGTGCTCTGGATACAGGTGTGTCAACATGTGTGTTCTAGATACATGTGTGTCAACACGTGTGTTCCAGCAGGGAGGAGGTGAGCTGTAAGATACTGGCATTCCCTCCGCCCGGCGCCGACAGGTAGGTGGTGATGACCTGTGGCAGCTGTGCCGTCAGTGTCGCGTCAGGCAGACTGCCGATGTCATACATGTAGCTGCTGGCACTGCCGGCCGAGACGGCCGCGTTCTTCTTGGCGCACACCTTGCTGTGCCGTGTCAAGTGGTTCGACTTCTGGAAGCGTTTGCCGCAAATGCTGCACAGGTGGGGTCGCTCGCCCGTGTGGGTGCGCAGATGACACTTGAGGACCGCGGCTCGAACAAAGCCCTTGTTGCAGTGAGGGCAGTGGAGCGGGTACACGCGGGTGTGGGCCTTTACCTCATGCAGCTCCAGCTTGTGCTACAGGGTGTTTTTTTGGGGGGGGGGGGGGGGGGGGGGGGGACAGAGACAAGGAACCCGTCAACATCTTGTAATGATTATATAGAGAAGAAGATGAAGAAGAATTTGAATGATAATAATATAATAATACCCATCATCATCCAGTGCCAAATCTGCGACAGACATCGGCGATAATGGTTCTCCATTTATTCCTCTGCTCTGATGCTCTTAAAAAAGCTACGTTTCCCTGATCTTTCCCCGTTACCCATTTGTTTAAGTTCTCTAAGTAGGTTGCTCTGGGCCTACCCCTGCCTGCCTCATTTGCCTTTAATTTTGCCAGTGAGAGCTAGATATTCAAGACCTTTAAGTCTATTCAGGTGTCCCAAAAACTGAATTTGTCGTTTCCTGATTGTTTTTAACAGTGAGCGTCCCACTCAGGCTTCATCTAGCACTACCTCATTAGACTTCTTTTCCCTCCATATATTCTCAGCAGTATTCTAAGAAACCACATTTAATAATACTAATAACAATCATGATAATAGTAATGATTATGATGAGGATTCTATAATGCCTACTTCATGATGGCTATAGGTGCTCATAAAATAACCCCCCCCCCCACACACACACACAAAAAAAAAAATGTTAACAAATATTTATTTTTTAAAAATTTGACAGCTAACACAGGGACATGTTTTATGTATACCAGCCCATTCAACATACGACAAGCCTTTCAAATACATGTACACCTAAAACCTGACAAAAACAGCACACACAAAAAGACAATCACTATGGAACAACACAAGACACAACACGTGTATGCTAATGCAAAGCTCACCTTCTCCACAAATCTCTCACTACAACACGACACAACACAAGCTGACACGACCCATTCCGACATGACACAAACCAATGCTAGAAGACATGACACCATATAATCTGACACATGTAAGCCAGTAAAGAGCTCACCTTCTCGCAAAACCTCTCACCATACACAACACAAACTGACACCTACACACAACCAATATAATATGACCTGACATGACACAAGACAACACAAGTACAGGGATGGAAACAGATCAGTCCAAAATTTACACACACACACAGTAAAGCTGGATCCTGCTCGCCAAATTTGAGAGTGGCGATTCACGATTCAGTCGGCTTCAATGAATCGCGAGTATGCAAGCGCTCATGGAACACTAAGTCTCGGGCTCGTTGTATGCGTGAAACGGAAAAATGTCATATCAATGCCACTTTGCGAGTCCCACTCTTGTTGTCCCGCCATCCTCTCCGCCCCCCGCCCTTCGTTACGCTGCGATACAGACCTCAATTAACGACCCCCATAAATCCCCCCCCCCCCCCCCCATGATTCGCTAAACTAAAACAAAGGCTCCATAAAATTCATTCTGTCGATTGGTTGGAACCCGTTCATTTTGTTTTAATAGGGGATTGGACTATGCCATCTTTTGTAAAATAAGGGGAGCCGTACTAAATGTTCCGTTCCGTTCTCGCGCTCATGACTCGACTCGCGACTCAGCAGTAGGTTACAAACAAGCCACAAGGTGGTGACAGCGACTGGGGAGTGGATTTTTTCGGAAGGTGATACTGTTCCGCTGAAGTGAATCGCAAATCGCGTTTCGCAGGGAAGAGCGGCGATTCAGTTCCGTTCTCGCGCTCGCGACCCAACTCTAACACACACACACACAGAGAGAGAGAGAGAGAGAGAGAGAGAGAGAGAGAGAGAGAGAGAGAGAGAAAGAGAGAGAGAGAGAGAGAGAGGGAGAGAGAGAGAGAGAGAGAAAGGATTGGGGAGGAGGGATGATAAAAAGACGTGGCAGAATGGGAGAAAGATACAGAGACAGGAACAAAGAGACGAAAAGAGAAAGAAAGAGTGAGAGAGAAGCACTTTCTGAGAAGAAAGTCAGGTCCCACTTACGGAAACTCAAGGAGCAAATGAACATTGCGGGTTTCCGTAAATTTACAGAAAATTTCCATCCCTGCAAGTGAACTAACACACACCTCCTCCTCTCCCCATGACACAACACAATACAAGTAAGCTAACTAGCAGAAGTCTCACCTTTTCCAGAAACCTTTCCCAACAACACGACACAACCCAATATAACACCACATACATTGCACAACAAGACAGAGCACATCATGACACAAAGATTCTGGCAGAGAACTCACCTTCTCCAGAAACCTCTCACCACAATACTGGCAGCTGTGTGGTTTGTCTCCGGTGTGTACTTTCCTCTGATGTCGCACAAGGGTCGGTTTACACACAAAGCCCTGTGGGGAGGAACAGTACGGTCACAGGTACACATTACTGGACAAAATGGATGGATAGTTGTGAGTCAAAGATACAGAATATAGAACTAAAAGGATAGACAGTTACCACTCAGTTAAAGTTGCACACTATTGGACAAAATAGATAGTTACTAACTCCTGTGAAGTCAATACAAAGAAAACATAGGTACTGTTTTCCTGTTCGAGATTCGTGGACTTGCAGAAACAGTAAACGCTGGAGGGACACAGAAGCAGACAGTTGAAAGAGTGTTGTATTGACCAGATTTCCAGTCAGTACAGGGAACAAAAGAGTGACCCTGATCTCGGTCCACCACTCACCTGTCCACAGATCAGACAGTGGTATGGTTTCTCCCCAAAATGTCTCCAGGCGATGTGGTCTCGCAGCTGCCAGCTAGAGAAAAACTGTTGGTGGCAGTGTTCACACTTGTACTGGTAGTCCTTGATGCCCTGATGGTCCACACTCACATGGCGCTTCAGGTTTTTCTTGCTTTTGTACACCTATATGTACACACAGACAGACACATGAATAGACATACAGACACAAGCACAGACAGACACATGAATATATACAGACACACAAACAGATGCATCAATAGACATTGCGATGGTCCACTCTTATTTGTCGCTCCAGATTTTTGTTCTTGCACACACACACACACACACACAAGCACGAAGGCATGCACACACAGACGCATGCACACACACGGGTGCGCGCTCACACACTCACACAGTTGGACTACAACAGGGACAATATGTTTGTCACTTTTAGATGTTTTATTGCTCGCCATTCATGTTTACTGTCTTGTCTGTTTTTCATTGCAGATCATACTGCAGACCATGCTGTATTGGTTATTGAATAAAACCTACCACAAAGGTCTAACCAGACTCCAGTTTGCAACTACAGTCGAACCTGCCCTGACAGCCACCTCTATAAGACGGCCACCTGTACAAACGGCCACTTTCCATTTCCCCCCTTGCGTTTTTTCTATATAATTTAACTGTGTAAAACGGGCACCAGTCCAACGCGGCCGGGGCCACAATAATTTTACACACAACCCCTATAATACTAAGCAATAATACCTGTCTAAGACGGTCACCTTAGTGACTCCATTACGTTTTGTCATAAATTGTGCATTGGCCCCTGGCGTTGTGGGCGAGCCGTCATAATTCAATCACCTGTCGTTGTTGTTAGGTAGTCCCTCCAACCGATCATGTTGCGTAGGCCCCTCCCACTGTTGACCAATAGCTACCAATTTTCAGCTGCTGGTGAGGTAAGCGTGTGATCCTTCATAACCCATAAGCCCCGCCCAGAACTCATACACAAATCGTAAGTGAGATGAGTGGTTACTGTTTACCCAGTCTGTAACAAAGGACGTCAACATGAACTTGTTACAGAAGCGTCCCTCGTTCTCTGAGTGGTGACGACCCATGTGTTTGTTTTAACATGGCACTCGGTCTTCCTTGTCTGATACATTTCGTTTTATTGTCACCATTGTGCAAAATCAGCGACAAAATAAAAATTACAAACAAAATACAAACCAACAGCAACAACACCAACAAAGACAACAACAATGGGGCTACTTTCGATTGGGGCCTCAGATGGGAATGGTTTGTTTCCTTTATCTTGATCAGTCCTGCCTAAGACGGCCACCTGTCCTATACGGCCACTTTTCTCCTTGACAATGGGTGGCCGTCTTACACAGGTTTGACTGTATGTGTTAAAAACCTTGTTACTACAGTGACATTACCTTGCCACACTCCACACAGCTGTGCGATGGCTTCTCCTTTTTCTCCTTGGAATGAATCTTCACATGCTGAGGATGAAAGACAAAGTATCAAAAAGCAGTTTTCTACAACTGAATCAAAAAGTTTTCTATGACTGAATCAAAAGCTGTTTCTACAAGACAGCTGTGCTGAATCAAAAAGGTGTTTTCTACAACAGAATCAAAAACCTGTTTTCTACAAGTCAGCTGAGCTGTGGAAAGCTTGTGGCAAGCAAGGGCTTAAATTGCAAACAGACACAAACATTCTTTCAATGAAACTTTTGTTTACAATTAATTTGCAAACAAGAAAAGCGTTGAAACATGTAACAATATAATATTTTACTTTAAAAATAACAATATATATCAATATAACGTCAAAATTGTCCAAAACAGCTACCCACTGTCGAGGAGTAAAGTGGTTATTTAAGACCAGTGGGTGGACATAAGGACAGTGTCATTATAATTTTTTTAAACACGAAAGGGGGGGGGGGACGTGGTTGTTTGTACAGGAGATTGTCTTGGACAGGTGACCGTTAGAGCAGGTCCCACTGTACTTGTAGAAGATAATCATCAAATATGTTTACACACTATCAATAATACTAATACTTACAGCCAAGAGCTTGTGCTGAAATTCAAACTGCTGACCACAGACCTGAGAAGGAAAAGAAAACAAACAACGAGGATGTACATAAACAGAATGGTGACCAACTTTTCAAACACAGACCACATAGCAGAATCATGTTCCTCGATGTTGGACAGTTTTGGGCTATTAGACAGAGGAACCTTATAAAACTGCTAGCCCCGCTGTTTCGCCAACTTCATGCCCGTTCCAAGGATGGCGGTATAACAAAGTTTGACTGTACACTTATTACAGTAAAATTGTGAGAAACTTTACGACCCACGACAAGAGAGACAAAAAAAATGAAGAAGAGGAAGAAAGGGAAGAAAAGGAAGAAGAAGAAAAAGAAGAAGACTAAGAAAAAGAAGAAGAAGAAAAAAAAGAAGAAAAAGAAGGAGAAGAAGAAGAAGAAGAAGAAGAAGAAGAAGAACAAGAAGAAGAAGAAGAAGAAGAAGAAGAAGAAGAAGAAGAAGAAGAAGAAGAAAAAGAAGAAGAAGAAGAAGAAAAAGAAAAAGAAGAAGAAAAAGAAGAAGAAAAAGAAAAAGAAAAATCAAGAGGTGTGAGAGGCTGAGTAGGGCGCACCTGACAGAGGAAGTCCCCACGTAAGCTCTGATGGGTGAGCTTGTGGTAGTAGCGGCTCGCCTTGTTCTTAAACAGCAGACCGCACAGGTCACACTCAAACATCCGGCCTGTGTGGGCCGCCATGTGCACCTTCAGGGAGCTGCGTGTCAGGAAACGTGCCTGGCACTGACCACACTGGAACGGACGAGTCTGATTGGACGAAGGACACAGACATGAATGAGTCAAGATGAATATACAGTGAAGATGATCGGACAATGTACATAAGATGAGTATACTGTTTCGATTAGACAATGTACATCTGGAAAAATGAGAATTCTTTTGATTGGACGATGTACATGAGTAGAGATGAGTATACTGTTTTGATGGGAGGATGTACATATGTAAAAATGAGGATACTGTTTCGATTGGATGATGTACATACATGTCTAAAGGTGAGTATGCCGTTTTGACTGGACGATTACGAATACATGTGTAAAGATCAGAATTATTTCAATTGATGATTTACAGAAACATACATGAATAAAGATGAGTGAGCCATAGGATGACGTACAGAGACAGACGTGTGTAAAGATGAGAATCCTGTTTTGATTGGACAATGTACAGAGACAGACATAGCTGTGAGAGCACTGTTTAGTTTTAGTTTCAATAAGAGCTTTACGGCACTTGCAACACAAATAGTTTATACAAGAACCAAAGATTAGAGGTGTCACTAGATAGTAACATACTAACACAGCTACAGGAGGGGTAGTGGGGAAGAGGAACATAAACTGTGTTCTATTGCCATTTGGGGAAATAAGGATATAATCAGAGTTCCCTTTATTTTAGTAAGAGTTCTACAGTACTTGCAACACGATAAGGTCACATAAGTGCTGAAAATTAGGCGTAACAAGAGAGTAACAAACAAACAAATAAAAAAAATTTTTTTTTTTTAATGTTTGATAGGAAAGAAGTAGAATACAACACCGGAGAACCCGCCAACCCCCAACATAAGCAAAGTTCTGATGGGAAAGTGGAAAAAAAAAAAGATGAACAAAACAACAATAAAAGAAGAACCTCCCCCCCCCCCCCAGAAGAGCCACCGAGGGAGAGGCAAAGTTACCGTGGCGTGCTTGCGCTGGTGTGCAGCGACAATGCTGGGCTGGTTGAGGATGTACACGCCACAGATGACACACTTGAATGTGCGACTTTTGGTCGGCGTGTTCTGGGACTTGTTCATCAGACAACCATGGTGTTTCTGGAGGAAAAAGAAAATTTTTTTTTCTCCCTTAAATGTAGGTGTTTTTGTGTGTCCCCCATTGATACAAGAGACTGGAAAATGCCGAGATAATATTTTGACAAAGTTTAAATTCTTAATGTTTAAAAGAAACAAACAAAACATGCACAATATAAGAATAATAAAAAATTAAAAAAACATAAAAAGAAGCAGTTTTTTTCCTCTTCTGAAATAATGTGCTTTGAGGGTTTAAAACATATAAGAGGCAGCATGGTGAAATCAAGCACTCGTCAAAATAACAAAAAATGAGAAATTTGGAATTTTTTTTATTGAATTTGTATTTTTTGGCTTAACGTCTTTTAGGTCCATATAAAATACATGTCCAAGTGAATTTTGTGAAAAACGATTAAAGGCAAAAAAATATGTCATTTTTCAGTTTTCAAAGACTCTGCAGCTAATGGAGTAACCAAACTTTGGATGCCATTTTCTCGCTAATTTCACCCAGGGTCCCCACCAAATCCTGGAAATTAAGACCAATTCAAGGGAAAAATCAGGCCGCTGCGCATCAAGAATGATCCCCAAAAAACCCATCTATCAATGATAAAAAGTCAAAATGTTTATAAATGAATGCAAATGTACATTTTGTAATAGTCTTCAAACAATAGACGATTATAATGCTGGGTGACTGCCAACCCAGCTTCTCAATTTTCCAAGGGAGGAGCCTCATCTATTTTCCAGGGGCATGTTACATAACAATGACGGCACATGCTCCATTTATATCTAATACCTGTATATATGTATATGTTTGTGAATACACACACACACGCACACACACACACATGTAGGTACACTATATCCAGTCAACAACATGTCAGTGTGGCACTGGGATCTTGTGTGACTTTGGTATTTCAGTCTGTTCTTACTTATTTATACTTTCCCCTCATCATATTAGCCTACATAAACTATAGGCTCTATTAAAAAATTAATCCTGTTGTGAGCCTGAGAAAAGACCTAGAACTAGAATATAATCGATTGTCAATAACCAGTCTGGGTGTCGTGATTCGTATAATAAACGTGAAGACGAAAACTATAGCCCAAAACTCAAAGTAGAGTAATATTTGTGTAATAACTTGAATGGCTCAAGTAGACCTATTCAGTGAGAGAGGTGTAACAACTGAGGGAGGGCAAGATGCAGTGACACTGAAAATCTGCCAATCTTGAACAGAAAGTTAAAATATAGGTATAAATTACAATCACCCCATCCAATGAAACATGAATACTTTAGTTCAATAACAAGGCATGACAGGCCCCGATTCCACACAAGGCCTGCACCAACGCGCGGTTTGCAGGGAGCTCTTATTGTAAGCTCGTTTTCAAAATTCTAAATACTAAAAATTTGCTTCCAAGTTAAGTTTTTGACCTCTAGCGTTGCCTTCAACCCCCCCCCCCCCCCCCATTCCGGAGTTCTATACTTCACAGTGCTCAGACCGCCGGTACTCACACTCACAGGTTCATTGACCGCTCACGATTGCGAACGTGACAAGACGCTTGCATAACTTTCTTTTCTTTTCTTTTTTCACAAGTGACAGCAGAGGACAAGTTTTTAGTATTGATTTATTTTCAAGGCGACACAGCATCTGTAATGCACAACCTGCATGCTACAAATGTTGCGTTATCTTTCAGACTATAACCGGAAAATGTCTGGATGGTAAGGAAAGCGAAAGTAGATCTTGATTCTTCCCAATCAAGCCTCGGTGTCACACATACACTTCCACCTGCCGCCACAGTGATTCATTTACGTTTCTTCTTCATGATTCATCAACCATGGATAGCTACACTACTAATATTACACAGGCCCTATCCTTTCCCGACTTACTGACCCATCACAAAATTCCCGACTTTTTCTCGACCTCCCAACCCATCTCAAAATTCCCGACTTTTTCCCTATTTCCCGACCTGGTGGGGACCCTGTTCACCACTTAAACCAAGCGACCTCCCTTCCTTCAATCGCAAACATCTTCAATTCTATTCAAGATAAATGGATATTTTGTTTATTGGAAGCAAGGCAAATAAATAAGCTTTCAGATGATACAAATAACTTTATGTGCCCAAAAATTGACAAGCGCCTGATTCCACCGCGTTGTGACATATGTTGAATAACTTGCCACTAAATTTCATTCTCGTGAAAGACGTTTAGCTTATAAAACAGGTGATGGTCGATTCTACACACTAAGCGATAAACCAGCACTGGCAGCATGCGAGTGTGTAATAGGTAGGTATTTCTACATACAACCCCCCCCCCCCAAATCAAAACAAATTTGATCATTTGAGAGGTAGGCTCTCGACCCTGCCTGTCAGGGCCAACGCGGGCTGGGAGGAATACACCTTCCCAGCAGAAAGACCCAAACTCTCTATAAAAATTCTCCCCTCTTGGCATGTGAGTCAGGGAAGATGATCTCAGAATACAGACACAAGATCCCGGGAGAGCCAAACTGAGGCGAGCTGAGCTGGGGCAAAGCGCCCCCTACCTGTAGATGCTGCGCCAGGCCACGCACATGGGCCAGTTGGGAGTTACACTTGAAGCACGTCGGTTTGGCCTTTGTCTCGTGACATTTGTACACGTGGAGGTTCAGCTGGAACAGACTGTGGAACTTGCGGTGACACACCTGAGGACACACAGACAGATACGTCAGGGACAGGGACAAGCAAACAGGTCAGGAATAGAGACACACACACACACACACATACACACACGAAGTTAAAAATCACACAGACACACAGAACAGACTGGTCAGTAAAACACGCACATGCATGCACACAAACACATACATTAAGATGTGGAACACACAGGCACACACAGACATGTTAGTCGACACACACACACAAACACACACACAAACACATACACACACACACACAAGACAAGGATCACACAGAGTAAAGCAAAATCATGACTTGACTTCATAAAATGTAAAGTACGAGACAATTATAATTACTGTATCATATTATAATCATATACGTACACACAATATAACATTCCAAAGTAAATACAAAGTACAGAATTTTACAAAAGGTTAACTGAAAAGAAGAGATATTACCATTACTCAGCAATATGTTAATTTTGACTACCAGTTCAGTACCTTGTTAACTCAAAGATAGTGCACAAACATGCACGACAGTCACAAACAAAAGCCAGACAAATATACATACAAACCTTTCATGAAATAAGATAGCTTGGTTCAAAAACTCACAGAGTAGACGAATTTATTCAACTTCACATTTGATGTGAAAGATAATATTAAGAAAATGGAACTTTTCAAATTTGAAAAGAAGAGATAAGATAAGATAAGATAGTACTTTATTATCCCAGAGGGAAATTTTCCTTGGCTGTACAGGACCATAAAAACACATGCAGGTATACATTTTAAAAAAATATTTTTAAAATTAAATATTACTCTCACTAAAATTCAATATGAAAGGAGAAGTAAAGCTGACAAAATTTACATTTACATCAAATGCATCATTCCACCACAGGAGGGATTTAAATACTACACCTTTGGAGTTATATACAGATACATACTCTAAGAGCAACACAAAAAACAAGTACATTCCTAAAGCAGAAAATTGGCTACCCACAGGGGCCATTTATTTTAATACAGTCAAACTTCCTCTCTTACTACCACAGACAATCATTCATTCAAACAGTAACTTCCTATTTCTTCCTTACGGATTAAAAAAAATATATGACACTGTGTAAGATGTCTGAGACAACCACTTTTCTCCTTCACAATGGGTGGCCCTCTTAGACAGGTTCCACTGTACTTACCTTGCACTTGCAGATGCCACTGGAGCCAGCATTCACCTTCAAATGACGATTGAGGGCTCCAACAGTAGAAAATCTGAAAAACAAGAACATGCAAATTAGTTCCTAAAAAGGTAACTACTCAATCACCATGGAAATGCCCAAACAGCCCAACACATGTATACCTCACTGACAACTTAAACTACAGTACTGTTATCAACACCAGACATTTTCCTTGCCAACTACCGACAAGTCTCACTATGATACCGTGCCGGCCATGTCTAAATGGGCAGTTGTTTTTTCCTAATGTGGTGTTTTTATGCACCCATAGACTCAAATTTAGATCGTTAAGGAGATGAGCTTTGACCCTGCCTATCAGGGCTAACCCGAGTTGACAGGAATACAATATCCCAGCAGAAAGACTGAGATGCTTGATGATAAAGATTTCTACCAACTTGGGAATCGAACTCTGTTTTCGTGCATGCGACTGTGAAGCGCTTTTAACTGCTACATCATAGACATCGGTTCAAAGAACTGTGTACATTCTTTTTTCAAGACAGCTGTCAGAAAAAAAAAGGCAAAAAATTTCTATGACCTTTTAAATCACTGTATGACCAGAGTATTTAAAATCTGTAAATCGTAGAGCAGTATCAATTTTTTAGAGTAATGCCTTCATCTCTACCCAATAGAAAGGACGGCGTCCTTCTTTTTTTCCTGACAAATGTAAGAATTAAAAAACCTGTCTGCTTCTACTTTTATAATGAGTGTCAACATCATATCTTTTTACACCTCAGACACACTGACTCTCACACCTGTCATGGTGTATTTTCAAAGTCTTTTTATGGAGTTGAACTCTAATCCACTATTAAGAAAATCTTGTTTCAAGTCATTGACTCTTGGTCATCACACTTTCACTTTTTCATTTGAAGACAGAATAATTCTTCATCAAAGAACTACATTCAATAATATCACAGTTGTGTTCACATCATGTTGATGAATTGTAGAGAGAGTAAGTGACAGTAGAGAAACACAGTGATGAGTGCCGACTCTGCTGAGAGGGAAGGAGAATAAGACTACTCACCGTCTGTCACACACAGAGCAAACTTTCCACTTGTCCGAGGATTCTGCTCCATCTTTCTTCTTTCTGGACACCGCTGCATTGAGTCGTGAACCCTTCTTTCCCTTCGCAGGGTTCACTTTGACACTAGCAGCCTTCCCATCAGGTTTAGGAGCCTGGCAACCAGATAAGACAGCATCAGAACCTCCTTCAGCAGCCTTGTCATCCTTCTTCTTCAGTTTGTTGCCAAAATGCTTTGAGCTTATCCCTTCTCCTGTGACTGTCCGCAGACTCCCAGCTCCTGCCAGGACTCCAGACAAGTCTTTGACATCATCAGCTGTAGTGATGTGTGGCCAGGACTGATCGCGTGTACCTGGCCTCAGGGCTAGCTTGGACGGGAAAGGCTTCACCTTCACCTCATTAGACGTCACGCTTTTTGCTTGAGACATCCTGTTATTTTTGCTTTTTGCGGATTGCTTTCTACCGACAGACTGTTTTGCAGTGGACGATTTCACCCGCGACCCTTTGGAGGTGCTTTCTTGTCTCTCAATTGTTCCTTGTGCTATTTTTATCCTCTTTGAAGTGGGCCAAGATTTCAAATCAAAATCTTCTGAACATTCACCGAGTATCAAAAAGTTTGTTCTACCAGGAGTTGAGCTATCAACTTCTTTCTCTCGTTTCTCTACAGTTTTTAATGTCACAGATTTGGCAGTTCTTGCCACAGTATTATCTTGAGTACTATTTACTGAAACACTGCAATTGTCAACATTGTCATTAATACTAGTAGCAGTCGTTGACACTTTGTCTCTTGGCTTACTGATGCTATCAACATCCCATGAAGAAAGTTTAGAAATGCAGTCAGATGGAGAATTGTCACAAATATCAGCAGAATTGTTCATGTGTGGCGAGGTATGGCTGTCTCTGTGATCCCAGTGCTCCAAGTCTTCAGAAATAACATCCATCAACAACCTAGAACAAAGATCATCATGGCCTTGAACATCTTCCCCTCGCTGTGGCAGGTCAATAACCTTCCCCTCTTTGTCCTCACCCGCTGGCCGCTCCCTCATCTCAGAGCAAGCACCCACTGAAAAACTCACATAGTTTCTGAACACATTTATCACAGATCTCAGAACATCTTCCTTATCCGTGTCATCCTTCCAGCTTCCAGTACTGGTCAGCGAGTCAGTCGAAGAATCCAAGTGGCAACTGTTGGCCTCACGAAGAGACATGATAGATGCAGCAGGCTCCAGGCCACAATTCCCCCACCCCACTCCCATCTGGTGAACAGTATCCACAGAGACTGGCACTGAGTGATGTGTGTCATTGTACTTTCGGTCACCACCGGTTTGCGAAAGGACATCATAAACTGTATCAAGACCATCTTTTGTATGACGTTCAGCAAAACACACAGTAGACACAGACGAATGAGAGTTAGGGAGGACATTGTCAGCTGTTGGCGTGTCACACACAGGAGACATGAAAGCACCCAAGTGTTGAAGGACACCCAGGCTTCTGTCAGAGTCCATGCACCTCTCTAGAGCATCCAGCACACAACTGATGGCCGTGCTTGTTTCTTCTTCACTGCTGAACTCGCTGTCTTCACCAGATCCACTCAGGCAATTACTTGATGAAACATTTCTACCCCTACAATTATACAACCCATGACAGCTTTTGTTTGCGAGAATGTTTGAGTCATGTTGCTCAACGAGACCAGAATATGAATCCTTAGCATTCTGCAGTCCATTATTCGCCGACTTTAAAGCAAGAACAACAGACCCATCAGGCTGACACAGAGTTGGGTGTTGTGACATGCCCGCTGAGGTGATGACTGGGTCCTTCAAGTGAACACCATGACCCATATGACAAAAACCTCCCTGACTCTCTACGGAGTCGTACAGACCGTTCAGCCTCCCCGAGGAGGTAACTTCTGTGAAAGAGAACGGCTCTATGTTGCACACCCCTGCCATCAAAGCGCCGCCAGCCAGACAGGGAACTTGATCCAAGTTTGTCTCTTCCTGGCTCTCAGAATGACCTGCCAAAATGGACGTTGGTTCTTCTGGTAATCCATCACAGGTGGGGGCCAGATTTGCACCCACAAAGTCCCTGATCTTCTGCTTTCCATCCAGGGAAGACAATGGAAAGTTTGCTTGGTTCCTTGAGAATGTGACATCAAGGGAGCCAAAAACATGTTTGTGTTTACTCCAGATGTGGTGGTCAATGCTGGTCTGTCCCGAGAACCTGGCCTGGCAGGGTGCACAATGCCACGAGTTGTGTCCGATAATGATCACAATCTCCATCTCCAGGCAGCTGACTTCTGCCATTGCTCACTGCAGAGTAAAAAGACAGGGTTCAGACAAGACTGCATCCTATACATGTATAACAAAGTCATTATATTTATAAAAATTAACCCACTAAATCAAATGTCAACAAGATTCACAGTCAATTTCTCGCACTCAGGCATGAACAAAATATATTATAGAGTCGATGTGCCTGACCGCGGCAGTGACCCCAGCGCAGCAGTAGGTCTAGTTTCGGCAATTTCTCACTTACCACTTTTGTGTAAGAGACCTTTTACTACCTCATTTCTTATTTTTGTATTTTGTTTTTTGAACAATAGATCTAAATGTTTTCATTATTTTTAAAATGAGTGGTCATTTTGAATGCATGAACAAATGAATAAATGAAAAACAAGTAAAGTATGCAAATAATGCAAGTTTCTCTCTGTATTATCAAAGAACCTGCCACTCTATGAAATCTAAAAATCAGGATTTTAGAGTTAAAATATCAGGATCTGGTGAAAAAAATCGAGATCAACTTGCAAAACAATCATAAGGGGCACTGGAGAAGGTTGGGCCTTGGTTCCCTTTTATGAGGCAAGTATGCAAGACAAAACTTTTGCAGGAATAAGTTCACGTTTGGGCGTCTAAATGGAGGAAAACTGAAAGACAGCATATTATAATTATGTACTCGAGTCGGAGATGGATACACTGGGGGAGCGCAGGCTGCAGTAAAGCTGAATCTGTCGTAGTCTTGAAAATAGCTGACACATAACTCTAATCATCCATGCAAAAAGCCCGCATTTTCATACAGTAACAACGTTTGACTTCCA